GCAGCACTTCATTTCACTACTTGCTGCTGCTGCTGACCGCCAGCTGCGACCCGCAGACGAGCGATGCTGCATTAGCTGCCCTTGGGCTTGTCCCGGAGCAGCAGCAGCAGCTGCTGCAGCAGGTGGAGCAGCAGCAGCAGCAGCAGCAGCAGCAGCAGAAGAGGAAGAAGCTGCTGGAGGAGCACACGGGTGCAGCAACAGAAGCAGCACGAACAACATGCAGCTGCTGCGCAGCAGCAGACTGCACCGCCATGGATTTCTGCTGCTTCACTGCTGCTGACGAGCAGCAGATGCTGCAGCAGCTGTTCATGCATACACCACAACCAGCAGCACTCAAAAGCCAGCAGGTTGCTGCTAGAGCTGCTGCTACAGGTGCTGTCAAACCTGCAAAAGCTGCTGCTGCTGCTTCTGCTGCTGCTGCTCCTGTTGCTGCTGCTGCTGCTGCAGCTCAGAGTGCGCAGTCTCACTCCGCTTCAACGCAGCAGCAGCGGCAACAGCAGCAACAGCGGCAGCAGCAGCAGCAGCAGCAGCAGCGGCAGCAGCAGCAACAGCAGCAGCAGTTGCAGCTTCAAAAGAAAGAGAAACAGACGCAGACACAGGTCCAGCAGCAACAACCTGGGAACCAACAGAACGGCAGCAGCAGCAGCAACAGCAGCAGCAGCAACAGCGGCAGCAGCAACAGCAGCAGCAACAACAACGGCAGCAGCAAGAACTCCGCTGCATTCCGCAGACGTCAGCGCAGGCGTGCAGCAGCAGCAGCAGCAGCTGCTGCTGCTGCTGCAGCGGCGGAGGCTACAGCAGCAGGGCCTTCTGCTGCTGCTGCAGCTACAACAGCAGCTCCTTCTGCTGTGGCTGCAGCAGCTGCTGGTGATGCTCCCGCTGTGGATGCAGCAGCATCTGCTGCAGCTGCGGCTCCTGCCGATGCTGCTGAAGGTGAAGCAGCTGATGCCGTCGCTCCTGTAGCTGCTGCAGCAGTTGCTGCTGCAGCAGTAGCTGCAGATACGCCTGCAGCAGCTGCAGCAGCTGTCCCTGCAGAAGCTGCTGCATCTGCTGCAGCAGCTGCTGCATCTGCTCCTGCAGCAGCTGCTACATCTGCTCCTGCAGCAGCTGCTGCGTCTGTTCCTGCAGCAGCTGCTGCAGCTGTCCCTGCAGCAGCTGCTGCAGCTGTCTCTGCAGAAGTTGCTTCATCTGTTCCTGCAGCAGCTGCTGCAGCTGTTCCTGCTGCAGCTGCTGCATCTGTTCCTGCTGCAGCTGCTGCATCTGTTCCTGCTGCAGCTGCTGCATCTGTTCCTGCAGCAGGTGCTGCATCTGTTCCTGCAGCAGCTGCTGCAGCCGCTCCTGGAGCAGCTGCTGCAGCCGCTCCTGCAACAGCTGCTGCAGCTGTTCCTGCTGCAGCTGCTGCAGCTGTTCCTGCAGAAGCTGCTGCAACCGCTCCTGCAGCAGCTGCTGCAGCCGCTCCTGCAACAGCTGCTGCTGCTGTTCCTCCTCTGGATGCTGCTGCTGTTCCTGCTGCAGACGCTGCAGCTGCACCAGCAGCAGCTGCTGCAGCATTACCTACAGCAGCAGATGCTGCAGCTGTGCCTGCTGCTGCAGATGCTGCAGCTGTTCCTGCAGAAGCTGCAGCAGCAGCAACAGCTTCAACTGAAGCAGCAGCAACTGCAGCTGCAGCTGCTCCAACTGCTGCAGCTGCTGCAACTGCTGCAACTGCAGCAGCTGCTGCAGCTGCTCCAACTGCTGCAGCTGCTGCAACTGCAGCAACTGCAGCAGCTGCTGCAGCTGCACATAGTGTAGAGGAAGCGGGTGCTTCATGATGTCAGTGAAGGTGCTGAGATTTTCTTGTTTTTTTTTATTTGTTTTTTCTTTTTTTTATTTCAACAGTTTAAATGAATCAAAAGGAGACAAACACTTTATTTGTCTGCAACACAGTTATCTGCTGCTGCTGCTGTTGCTGCTGATGCAGTTGCTGCTGCTGCTGCTGCTGCTGTACCTGCTGCAGCAGCAGCAGCAGCAAGTACAGCCACCATAAAACATTAATAACTAAGTTGAAAGGAATCGCTGTCGATACAAACACACAAACATTGATTTGATATTCACATTAATATATATATATATATATATACATATATATATATATATATATATATATATATATATATATATATATANATATATATATACATATATATATATGTATATGTATATGTATCCTCAGCTATAAACGAGTTTCTCGGTTAAGCAAAGTTGCAACTTGCAAATTGTTGAATTTTTTTAGTAAAGTTTTACATTCAGTTGTTTGCACTTAACAGAAATAAAAAAATAAAATAAAATAAAATAAAATATAAACACAAACAGCTCTCTTGCTGCTGTGCTCGTCTGTGTGGGGCTCGAGGGAATACACGAAGTCTAGGTTTAGGGTTTAGGGTTTAGGGTTTAGGGTTTAGGGTTTAGGGTTTTGGGGTTTGTATGATCATCAGTGAGCAGCAGTAGATAATATACACTCAATGCATGCAGTGTATTCAAGTAGAAAGTAGTATATTATAAAACATAATATAACATATATAATATATATATAATATATATATTATATTATTAAAAAAAACAAAGAAAACATAAACACAAACACCACCGAGCAACCCCTTTCCCCCCTCAGGCGACGTGTCTGGCGTTGTTAAGCTATTGCACGAAGGAAAAAAAGTATTATTAAATAAACAAATAAATATATAAATATAATTAAAACAATGTTTTGATAAATTAACTTAGGAAGAAGAAAAGCAAACGTAACACCTGGGGGGGGTTGTGAGCGATCCGCTCAGCTTGGTGCAGCAGCAGCAGCAGCAGCAGCAGCAGCAGCAGCCACAGGAGCTTCGTATGTAAATATATATATAAATGCTAGTGATATAATTGTGTTTAATTAATTTCAATTGTTAAAAAACTATAGAAAGAGCAGCAGCAAGAGCTTATATAGTATATCTAGGACGAGCTGCAGCCCGAGCAGCAGCAGCAGCAGCAGCAGCAGCAGCAGCAGCAGCAGCAGCAGGCCCCGCTGCAGCAGCCCCTGAGCTCGCGAGGCAGTACCAGTATCCCACCATGAATGACCTTTACTGCATTTCCCCTAAAAAGGGTTTAGGGTTTTGAATTTTGTCTTCCCTTGCCTAATAGCTGCAGCTGCTGCAGCAGCAGCAACAGCAACAGCAGGCTCTGCGGTGTCGAGTTGATTCTACAGTTCACCGCAGCAGCAGCAGCAGCAGCAGCAGCAGAAGCAGCAGCAGCAAAGACAACGATCGCAGTAACAGTAGCAGTCAACAACAGCCACAGCAGCAGCAGCAGCAAGGCTCAACACCGCCAGCAGGAGAAAATGGGGAAGGGCAGCAACGCATGCGTAAGCCTCAGGTGCTGCAGCAGCAGCTGCAGCAGCTGCAGCAGCAGCAGCAGCAGCAAAATTCTAAGCGAGTCTTTGAGCGGGCTTTATAGAGAAGCTTATATGGGCTCATGTAGGGGCCCCCTCATCTAGTGCATGCGCAGCTGGACGGTTGCCGCAGCAGCAGCAACAGCAGCAGCAACAGCAGCAGCAGCAGCAGCAGCAGCTGCTGCTGCTGCTGCTGCTGCTGCTGTGGCTGGAAGCGTGAATAAGAGTTAGACGTGGATGCTTTGAGGGTTTGCTTTGAGTGTTACATGCAGTGTATATAGTCTTCTGCAAGGAAAGCTTTAGGGTTTAGGGTTTAGGGTTTAG